GAAACAAAGTGAAAGATTGAGTCTTACGTAGTTTTATTTATTATAATACTATTTCAAGTACCATTATGGTATAGTTTTAAAATGTGCCTTCCAATAGCAGTTCCAGATACCTCACCTACACAAAACAAGGTGAAAGGCACTCTCTTAAGTTGGTGATTCCTAAACCATTAGGATAAAAATGTCAAACCAGCACTTTCTTGCCTTCACACAGAAGTGTACAGCTTTCCAGTTAGTTCTAAAAACCAATTCAGTTGAGTTTCTTTTCTAATCTTCCATTTTCTACCCTCTACTGGTTGCTCATTCATCAGCTCTGCGAGGCTTAGAGCTGGTACCTTCACAGAGTGACATTATCCTCTTCAAGGTTTTCCATGGTGACAAGGTTCTGCGCCCTTTGATCCAATTGCAGGATGAGAACTTAATACTTGAGCTTCTTGGGCAGAAGACATGCCAGGTGTTGAATTATTTAGCTTGTGTCATCACTGTAACAGTAAATAAACATACTCAGATACTTCCTTTCATTTATACCTCAATTGGTGCTTATGTTTGCATAAATTCTGCATGTACTTGTTTATTGTGAAGCAGAAGCAGCATTTTTTGTAGGAAATTGGAGAGCCTTACTGATTTTTTGCCTACATTGCAGTGTTTATGTATTTCTAGTCCTATTGTGTTTTACTGAATCAGGTCCTCAGATGAAGGTGGCCCATGATGGTGGTGGTTTACAATTTGACTGTGGTTTTGTCAGTAAGATCTTCACCAAGTGATTGGTGTTGCAAGTCTTCTTGCATCCGAGATAATTCTCCTCCTGTATCTTGAGGTTTTTTTCTCTGAAATTTTCCAGACTCACATTCTGGTGCTATCTGAATCATACCTAATGGTGTGATATATAGGAGGTCAGACAAAAAGATCAGCTGGTCCCTTCTGGCTGCCAACCCTGTGAACTTATGACCTGTCCTTATTCAGCAAGCAAAATCAGCAGTGTTGTCAGCAGAGAAAAACCCTGGTACGCTTTGTGAACTGGACTGACTTGAAGTGATGACTCCAAGGTGGTGGATCCCATGTGTAACTGGTATTCAAAAGTCTCATTCTGAGAATGGGAATAGAGAGTTCATTTAGAGGAGCAGAGAGACATCGTGCTTGTTCTCTACCACCCTGTTGGCTTGGGTTGTGTGACAGAGCTTGCAGTGCAGTCTCTGAATGGTTTTATAGCCATGATATAAACAAAATAAGTTACACACCTTTGATTGGCAGGTCTGCATAACCAGGGGATCTGTATTATGAAAAAGCAAAACAACTAGAACAGGTGTGAAAAGGAATGGAAATGGATTTACTTTTTCACAAACTACTGTTTATTCATGAGTGAGGGACTATCTAGGTACCATGGGTATTATCTGCAGAGTGCATCTGCATTATTAAAGATTCTCTGTTGAGAATAGTTGAAATAAAACCATATAAATACAGCAAAACATAATGTGTGAATTCCACTGGTTCCTTTAAAGAAACCCAAAACATGCATAACAAGCACTATGAATCTCAGAACCTGTTCAGAAAGGTACAAAGATTTGCAAATCCAGGATTTTTACTGGTGTTCAAATAGCCACGTTGGCCCTAAACCAATTATCTGATGCTATTTGCAAATCCAGGAAAATGGAAAAGAACAATACGGGGACAAATTAAATATTGCTTAATGTGTTTTCCTCTTATTTGAAGTCTTTTATCCTCTTTGAGTTAGCTTGTAGCATCTATTCCTGTAAGACTTAAGTTTTCTCTTTTCATTCCAACGCGCTTTTCATCTCTTTTTAAAAAAACTATAGCTGCCTTATTTGAAGAGAACTGTTCAGTAACCACTTTCAGAAGGCAGAGGGAGGACCTCTCGCTAGGGCACAGGCCCTGGCTCTCCAGGAGATCCTTGACTGATCAAATCCCCTCTGCTCTCTGCATTTCACCTTGCCTTCTTTGCCTTTGCATCTTTAGCTTTGTGGGACAGTGTCCTCTCGGCGTGTTTGCACAGCACTTAGAAAAATGGTAACCCTGTCTCAGCTGAGACTGCTTCAGTGCAAATATTCCATTTTCTGTCTTTCAGTACATTCACAGAATCTCCAGTGTTTTATCAAGCCCTGACAGAACACGTGGCTTGTCTTGGTAGAGATTTTCTTGTGTTCACCAACTTGCAGCGTCAGGATTTTGATATGAGTTAGATACACCAATTGTTTAAAATATCTCACTTCTTTATAGTGTGCATTTCATTCATTCTGCTCTCCTCTTCCAACATTTAAAAATCAATTGAACATTTCTGTCTGGAATTTGCATCAACATCTGTCTTGAGTTAACATTGTTTGAAACTAACAGACTGATTTTCTTATTTTATTATCTCATGTGACATGTGCATTTACATTTTCTGTGTGATACACTGAGATATTGACTAGCTGGTGCAGAAAAAAATCTGCTCAAACACGTTCTGCTGATTGACCCATTCCTCTGTGTAAATATCACCAATAGTCCCAGATTTCTTGAAGAGTGAATAGTTTTTCTTAATATCGTTGACTGACAACATCTTCAAAATATAGCTATCAAGCAAAGAAGTTGCCCACCTAGAGCACACAGCAATCGAGTTGTCTTTGAATATGCAGTTACCTTTCTAATGGATACCCCACATCCCAGAGCATTTCACTGTTAATTCCTGTTCTTTGCTGCTGGCTCTGCACGCACTGGGACTGTTGGTTCAAGCAGCTCTTTCTGGATGTGCACGCTCTAGGGTAAGGGAAGTCAATCTTACAATATTGCAATGTAAAGCTGCTCCGCAGAATATTAGTTTCATAGCCACAAGCTAGAGCATCATTACATTACTTTTCCATCTTACATTAGGCATAAGTTCCCCGGAGGAGTGTTTGTGAGTCTCTTTTCTTCCTGACCTTCAGTTTAGAGGAACACATCAACTACTTAAGGCAAAATCTGCCTTTGTGTCTAGTGCAAG